AGTGGGATAAAACCCCACCTTTTTTAAGCTATGTCTTGAATTCGCGTCATAGAGTACGATTGCCAAAAGCCCAGCCCACTGACTTTTTATGTTGCTTCCATGTTGGAAACAGTGAGGCCAGGTTGCTCATGGCACATGTTCTGCAGCAAGGAAGGAGATGGAGCTGTTGGGAAGATGCAACAGGGCAGTGGCACTGGAGGCTCCTATGAGAGGTGCAGAATGGGAAGAGGAAGCTGAGAGGAGGTCAGAAGTTGGGTTTTGGTCCAGCAACTCACTTGCAGTGATCCACACCACAACCAAGCTCCTGGATGTGACAATAAGCTTCTAAGAAACCGCTAGAGTCAAACGAAATGCAAATTGTGATTTGGCAGACCTGTTCTCATAGAGCCTTTCTTCTGAGCCTCAAATGAAAGAAGAAAAAGAAGCAAACAAGCATGAAAATATCCTCAAACCTTGTAACTGAACTGTAAATATTCCCTTGCCATATGACTCTTGATTTTTGTTATTGCATGAAGTGAACATATATAGGGGTCTTTGACATTTGTGCCCCCACTCGTTATGCACTAGAAGGGAAAAAAAACCCAAACACTCTTTGAGTGAATCTTTATGGTGATTCAAAACACTTTAGGAAGATCCTGTCATATGCTTTATAAGTTCCTGACTGATTGTGTGGAATTAAGTTATTGGGCAGAGAACCAGCTAATGGAAACACATTGATGAAATCATTTTTGAGGGACATTAAATGGAACTTAAAATAAAGCTGAAATGGCTTTATGGATTTTTCAGTCAAACTGTTTATGAACATTTATCGGTGGTAAATTACAGTGTCAGAAGAGGGAATCAGTAGGGATGGCTTTTAATAGAAGTCACTCTGATACAGTGCTGTGAGAAAGAATAATTTATTGCCTGGGAATGTACAGTATAGTGTGCTTAAATACAAATTATATGATTGTTTCCTCCTAACTGTCTTTGGCTGTTTGCAGATAAGTCACCCTTAGCAGCAACAGAAAGTCTCATAAGATGAAAAAAAATGTTTTCAGTACTTTGCAATGAAATAGAAATCTTGTATTATGTATTTTTCATGGTAGATAGAAAATGTTTTAATAACGGATAATTCAGGAAGCAGAAGCTGTGTTGTACAATAATAAATTTAATTTGCATTTGCTTTATACTCACTAAAGGGAAAAGAGGGATATAGTAGCTTTGATTGGGAAGGGAGGTTGTATTCTTGAACAGTGCAGTTCATGCAGCCATGAGGGTATTTCATCTCTGTATGCTTCCCTCACTGGGAATGAGTTGGGGGCTACATAAGGATTCACTCACGATTCTTAAAACGCTCTGATTTGTTTCATGTTCCTGTAAGACTTGCCTCTTGCCTTTCAGCTTAATGTTGCACTTGCCTTTCCTTTGGCCCTGTCCTGCTGCCATGGATCATGAGTAGCACTCAGCTTTTCTCTGGGGATGTTCCCATCCTGGAAGCATCCAACAAAGAGCAGAAATTTTCACCACTTTCTAAGCAAAATGACCTTGGACTTCATATTTTTAAATCCTACCCTCTCTCTCTTCTTCCGCTCCCTGAGGTCAAACATTTGTTTCTCCATGACGTCCCAGTTCTCTGCAGAGCCACAATAGCCCAGTTCAGTGTCCATAGCACATTTCCCTCAAACTTTTCTTCCTGTTTGCCAAAGCCTGTAGTAAAGCCACTTCCCCCAGCCTAATGCCTTCACTTTCAACTCCATCCAACAATAATCCTATCGCAGCCTGGCGAGGGACTTCCATAGTGGCCAAGAGCCACACTTTGATACAGATGTCCAATGTAGTTGAATTTGTCCGAGGCAGTTTCCCTTGGGAGACACTGTGGGAGCTGCCAGTTACTCAGGCAGAGACTGAGACTCTTTACTGTAGAAGAGAGAGGGCTCGTGGGAGTGGACACATTCAAGGTCTATAAAATTAACAGTAGCACAAAATGAGGATAGTAATTTAGTGGTTCTCACAGTCCAAAGCAGAACAAACATCCAGTGAAATCAGGCAGCAGGCTGAAACCAAAGGAAGAACTTCTCCAGAGCATTTAATTAATCTGTTATCCCCTTGGTACAGAAATGGGGCCAATTAAAAGGATAATTAGGTGAGGTGAGGAAAGCTTATCAGTGTGTCTCCAGTGGCTGGATGATGCAGGCCAGCTCAAGGAGTCCCTCAGCTGCTGACAGCCAGAGTCAAGGGAGGGATGTCTCAGTCCTGGCCCATCAGCATCCCCTCAGCCCTGAGTGGTTGATGTCCTACTCAGTGACAGGGACAAGCGGCCCTTTGGGAGATTTTGTGCTCTTAAACAGAATAATAAGTAATGATATTGTCAAGGCAGGAAGCCTTATCAGGGCAGGTAGTGTTCACTTCTAATTCGTATCAAAGGAGAGAAACAGAAGGATTTGGAAATTTCATTCCAGTTCTCAGCACATAAGGGACTCTTTCATGGATCTGGAAATAAGGGAGACAAGGAAAAGAGGGTTTAAGAATAGTGTATAAGGAAATAAAAACAAAGAGATGGAGGAAAGGAATAGTAGATGTTTTTATTTTCAGCCTTCCTGAAATGATCACGTTGGAGTCTTCTCTGTCTTTGTTTCTAAAGTTGCTTCCTGCATTTAAATGAAATAACAAAAGCCTAGAAAACCCAAGCCACTGGAAATATGCTGAAGTTCCCCTTTTTCTGCAGGCATTTCTGATACATTCAGGTTGTTATTTTGGGGCTTCTCATAACTTAGGTAGCTGACTGAAGGTCTGTAAAAGTGAATCAAAATTACCAGCGTGAAGTCACCGTTTAAGCAATACAGGTGGAAGGGGTACAAGGATATCTGTGTGCACCTGCCTGAATGCACTTAACTCATCCTCCTCCCCTCAAAAATCATGGTTTTGTTCCACAGATATGTGCAGGCTGTAACTTTTGCTAAGTTTCATTGCAGAGCTAATAGCCAAACAATTGTGTGGATAAGCAGAGACTTAAATCATTTGGAAACTGTTGAGAGAGAACAGATCTGATAGTAATAACCTTCATGGCTGGCAAGCTACAGCTGCTTTTGACAACTTGTACCAATGAAAGCTTAAAGTTAAGCGCTAAATATCTGTATTGTGCCATAGGATCAATTTCAATTCCCAAGTTTAAAGCTTGAAACTTTAGGCTGCTTTTATTATCTTTGAGATTGCTCTGGGTTTTTTCTCTAGGTTAAAAAGGAGTTGGATTTTTTTTTAATAAATGTTGGAGTTCTTGTTGTCATTCTGATTTTCTTTTTCTTGAACACAGTGGGACAGCTTGGTTAATTTATTTCAGTGCAAGGAAAGTGTGGCCTTATTGAAGCCACAAGTGGTTTTCTTTTATAGGAGAAATTACAGAAGGTTGTTTTATTAACATGTTTTATATCAACTTAGATCTTTTATTCTGTAGCGGTGACTTCCAGACTGCACATAGGTAACAATTATAATAGCACATGTAAAGAGACATGTCAAAGAATGTATGTAAACAGTCTGATCAGGATCTGTAGTTTGCACCAATGGCTTTACCGAAAAAAAGAAAGGAAATAAAAAAAAAGCCACTGGTGCAGTTTGCATGCTGACACTGAAATTGCTGTGATGACTACAGGTAATGAATATCTAACTGTTCACAGTGCATCTGAACGCACAACCACAGGTCTGAATTTAAGAATAGAGGTCACACTTGCTCACTGGGTAGGCAGCTATATATTAGAGAACATGAACATCAATTTCTGGTGCACTGCTGTGTGTCAGACAATACCATTCTTAGCTGTGTTTTAATTGCAAGTTTCAGTGGGAGTGAGAATTTGACGTTCTGCAGCATAGAGCATCTGTGACAGCACCTGGGGACTACTGTGTCCCAGCAGGGTATTTAAAAAGAGGAATGGGTTCAGAAGAGAGCAGTGAGAAGTCCAGGAAATCTGCGTCACAGTGAATGATTCAGAAAGCCCTGACTTAGAATCAGGGGTGGTTGGGTCACCATCAGCAGATATCTACCTACAGAAGGTGAAGAGTCTGGTCGTGCATGGCCAGTTCCATACCCCATGAAGATTTAGTGGCTGAAAGTGAGACCGATTCTGATTAGACACACATTTTTTAATTAGAAGAATTAGTAGGCTTACCAGAGAGTGGCATGCAATACATTTGGCTTAAAATAATCACATAAAGAGCATCTCCTTCTAGAGAGACACAGGATGGCTCAGTCACAGATTATGGACCAGTGCCGGGGTGGCTGGGTGCAGTGGCCCAACTTGGGCTATGCAGGTGGCCACAGAAGAGGATTGCAGTGGCCTGAGACTGAGGAAGTTCATATTGCCTTGCAGTTTACAGCTCGTGTTCTGAACAGTCAGCAAGTGGGGATCGTGCTACCTTCCCTAGCATCGCCAGGAGATGGGGGAAATGAGCAGAAGTTAAATGACTTCTGGGTCACACACCAAACCGGTAGCCAGGCTGGGACTAGAGCAGTGTCTGCTGCCTGCCTGTGCTGTGTTTCATCAGGTGGACACCTCCCTCCTTTTCCCCAGGCAGCAGCACCAACTAGAGATACATTTGCAGTGATTGAGCCAAAATTTGATTTCTCCTTTGAGTATCTCTGATCCCAGCAAAAGGAATAATGTCATGACATGCATCCAGGCTCATTAATGAGTGATGTAGCTGGATTAGATGCTTAGTTACCAGGGGGGTATCTTTTCCAAGTTCCCTGCATCAGTTGGGTTGGCAAACACTTCCCACAGTGGGGGTGCAGGCATGTGTCTTTACAGCCAGAAGTGCAGTTTACAGGCAAATCCCAGTTGTAATCAAGGCAACCAATTTCAGATGATCAAGGTCTGGCTTTTCCTGGGGACAGAAGGGATGTGTGCAAGCAAGAAATGGGATCAGGCGATGGGTTAAATTGCACCTAGGTATGATTTGACAATCACTCCCCTGATAACAGCTTATAATGTTTACAATTTGTCTTCTGTTTTGTTTTGTGATTTCAGGAGCAGAAGGCACAGTGTTCCCTAAATCTATAGAAACTCCCAATGTCAGGGCAGACCCCTTCAAGGAACTAAGGTAAATTTTGGAATATGGTTTAATGGTAACTCAGCGGAGCCTTGTTTGAGTTGTGCATACTGCTGGGCATCATTTCTGCTTTTGCATAAGAGCTTGGGGACTGACTTTGGAAGGCATCACCGAGAGGCTGCCATAGAAGGGAAGGGACCTGTCATCTTTACATGTAATGTGACTGAGCTAAAGGCAGTCATGGGTGATGAGAGCATCATTTATCCTCTACAACATGCGCTGTGTACCCTGGGATCAGCATTTGAAAAGCAAATAGAGGAATCTTCTGGTTGTACAGGGAGGCACAGGCACTGCAACCCATGCTGAATCATGGGGAGCAGCAGCAGGGAAAAGGATAATGCGGATAATGCTCTCCAGCATTATCTGTCTTGCAGAAATGCAAACACTCCCTGACCTACACTGGGTATAGGTATGTATGCATGTAATTGCTGACACTGGCAGGGATGCCACTTGCTGACAGCAATGTATCAGGAGGGAATAAACAGCACAGCTCCTGAGAACCTCAGGCTAATGCTGAGCATTGTATTTATTTAAAAACAAGCCAAACATGTGGCACTATGGATTAGTTTGAATGACTGGTCTCTGAAAAAGACTAATCATATTGCCTAATAATTAGCAACCAAATCTCTTGGTATCTTCTGACCAAGAGCACTGTCAGGATTTGCCACTGATGCAGTAATTATTGTTCCGTAGAGAAAGAGAGAGAGAGAAAAGGTGAAAAATGTCTCCAGAAGGATGTCTTGTCCTTAGGTCTTAGGTTGCAAACTCTCCTTTCCTGGGAACTGCTGGGAGTGAAGCAATCTTCAGACAGCACAAGGTGTGGATGCACCAAGATGTGAGGGACCTCTCATTAACTCTCTCTGCTCTGATACTGGAGATAGTTATGGCCTCCTGTGGAAGACGAGGAACACCCTGTGTGCCTTCCCTTGGGTCTGTCTTCCAGTTTCTCTCAAAACACTCTTAATTCTTCCCAGTTTTGCTCTCGTGGGATCCTATGTCAGACAAGAGCTACAGTGGTGGTGTGATTCAGTTTGTTATGAAAGCTTGGCCTCTTTCTTCATGCAGTGGCATTGTCCCTGCCTTGTGGTTTTCCCAATCTTGGTATACTTAAGAAAGGAAACAGAATCTTTGCTCAGCCTGACATGCAGCTCCAGGGTCTGCTGGGGTGCAAGGAACCCCAGGAGGACAGGAGTCCATAGTGCAGGGCACATGTAGCCCCTGTTTCTCTGGGCAGAGCAAGGAAACAAAGCAGTCAGTGGGTGGGTGGATTTGTAGGTGAGGTTCAGGTGACAAAGGCTTTCTGGCACAGACCAAGTTTACTGACATATTCAGAGGGGAAAAAAAGGCAAAAAAGAGAAAACAAGATCATGGTTAAAATATCCAATAACATCTAATTAACATACAAAACTGGGTCCCATTTTCAGTAGTGCAGAAGAGATGCAAGGTTTAGGTCCAAGATTGTGGTTACTTAGGACTTTTCTAAACACAGGACGGGAATTTAATGTAAGTAAGTGTAGCGTGTAGTATTAGAGGGGACAAATGTGAATGAAAATGTCCTTAATCTGATTGAGTATGCTTCTGTTCCAAAGAGAATTAAACTAAATGAAATGGAAATGAATTAATGGCAGCATCCATACAAGGGGTTGATTCCATGTATTTCATAGAATCATAGAGTGGTTAGGGTTGAAAAGGACCTTAAGGTCATCTAGTTCCACCCCCCCGCCATAGGCAGGGATGCCTCACACTAGACCATGCCACCCAGGTCTCTGTCCAATATGGCCTTGTACACTGACATCTGGTCTGCTTTAACTTCATGTTGTTATTTCACTTGTTTTATGCAGAGAGCTGTTAGATAACTGACTTTCTTTGAAATTAGTGGACTGGGTGAAAAAGGAATCATGCCAAAATCTGGTGGTTTGTTTGGGTTTTTTTTAAGGGAAAATCATTGAATTAGATTTACCTTGAAAAAACGTCCCATGGGGTCCTAAAATATTTTGTGTGCTTCTGAAAATTTTATCTTGGCAGAAATAAATGTTTTTTTTTCCACCATCCTGAGAAGAACAGAGCCAATGGTAGCACCGTGAAGGGAAAGCGAGATTTCCCAAGAGCAAAAGCTCTGTTTCTCCCTAAACCAAGAACCATCCATCTCTCTCTCTACATGCTGGAACCCTGGCTGCTTCTTAGGTAAAATGGTGCCTTTTGGGTGCAGTGCAGAGTTAATAGAGAAAATAATCTTGCTCTTGGGGGCCATTTTTTTGTACCTTCCTATTTTGACAGCAGTATGTGTGCATAAAGGTGTCCTTTTGGCCTTTTTAAAAAGATGCTATACTGAAATGAGACTGGATGAGATAGCACATGGGTCCCGAGCTGTCATATATTGCTAGGAAAGCAGCACTGTAAACATGCACTCAGTAGCTGCTTGACTCTAAAAGCTCCGTTTCTGTAGTAAATAGCACAAATGTTCTTTCCTCAGGCTGAAGTTCTCAGGGTGGGCACGTGCACATTCAGCTATTGTAGGCTGTTGTCAGATGTCCCCAGCCTCCATCAGTCATCCTAGACCAAATGGTTGTGGTTAGGTCTGTGATTTATCCTTTATTCTCTTTTCAGTATCAAACTGACTCCCACTTTTTTCATTAGGAGACTTCAAAATAAGGTGACAGCAACTGTCAGTATGGGAAACAGAGGAGACCAACCGCTCCTGTCACCACTGGGAGTCAGACCATCTGTATGTCTTCTTTCCCTTTCTCTCCTCCTTAACAGACGGACAGATTTCCCCTGCAAGATAGGCAGTACACTATTGTGTCAGTCATCTCTGTTTCTGTCCTTCTTTTCCTCCCATCTCCCAAAGGCATTCAGTCATGCCCATGTCTCACTCTCCAAACAATAGCACACACGATCTCAACAGACTTTCTTGTCCCCGTTTATGAGACAAATGGTCTTCAATTCATACAGCCAATTTTATTTATTAGTAACTACCTCCTCTACAAGATGGTCACCATCCTGGAGAATACACAGTGTGTGGTCCCTTTGCCGAGTACCCTTTTTAAAACACTTTTGTATGCAGTGGTTTAGATGGATAAAATTCAGGTGGCAGTATGTCTGTAGCTCTTTCCTTACTAATGTGTGTAAGCCCATCACAAGGCTGCAGGAATTGGTTTGGTTCTTGTTTGAGCCAGGTCTGGACTTCGCTGCTGAATCTTCTCATGAATCTCTCCAAAGCTGCAGACTCGTGTCCTAAACCAGTCTTACTAAGTATCAATTGTAGTAAGAAAGCCAGAGCTCCTAAACGTCCTTAGTGCAGAGTGTTATTAATGATTTGTATTTCTTCTTTGGAATCTAGAATGTTCTTTAATAATGACTCAAGAAATAGAGGTGGTTGAAACACTATTTTATATACTTCTATGAACATTTGCATGTTTTTACTTATTTGAAATAATTTTAGACTCTTGAAAGTTTTGGTAGTTGTTCATTGGGTTCTAAAGTGGTCAAAAACAGAAAAAGAAAAGCAAACACATTCAAATTATTTTCAAATTCTTGTAAAGTTTAACACTGCCATTCAATATCATCCCAAAATAGCTTAGTGGGACGGCTTGGGAGATTGAAATTTGGCTTGGGAGATTTGGATGTTGAAATATTTGTATTCATCTGCATTGACTCTTTTTAATGCAGGTTAGTGTCTTTGACATATGGTAATATGGTTGCCTGTGTATAATAGTTGAATTCAAGATGACCTTTTCTCACTGGATTATTTTAGTGGCATCCAAGTAACTTGTCAAGAGCCTGTCTTGAGAACCTCTCCTTGACATTGGCAAGAATCACCTGCCTTTTTCTATTTATCTTCCAAAAGGCTTGTAAGTGCAAAGGAGACTAACAGAAGTTGCCTGACATATCAGCACTCTTCTGAGGTGAGGGTTTAAGGGTAAACTAGCCAGTGAGAAAGGAAGAAGAGAAATAATTTGAGGGGAGGGGATTAAAAAGTGCATTATCCAATATAAGAAAAAAATATGAGGATGATGTTAAACTGCTAAGTGTTAGAAGCTGGAAGAGTCTGTGTCAGATGAGCGCTGTGTTGTAGTGTCGTCCATCCTGGTCCCTGGGCTCAGAACTAGCATAAGCGCCTGCCTGATTTCTAGGTCATGCTGGGGGGCACCAGAGCATGGAAACTGGGCTTAGGGCATTTCTGTTCCTGGAGTTAGATAAAAGGAAATCAGACAGCATGAAATTTAGTCTATAAGGGGCAAGCACACACCTGGAATTCATCCACAATTATTGTAGGTTAAAAATGCAGTAAGCTGCTCATCCAAGGCAGGAAACCAAGGGATGACTGTTTTTCCTGTAATGCACAAATATAGTTAAGGGAGAATTAATCCCTTGGGCTTGAAGGGGTAATTTTTGACCAAAGTTAATTATGAAGCACTGAAAGTACGAAATGGCAGATGAAATGTACTTGCAGCTTGATTTTATTAGGGCAATTCTACCTTTCCATGTACAGTACTGAACTATCCAAATAGTCCAAGTGAGAGCTATTGTAGCAAAAAGCAATTTAAATACAGTGCTCAGCTAATGCAACAATACTCATTTTGCAAAACAATAATTCTTACCGAATTAAGGTTTCTCTCAGCTGTGTTTCACAAGGCAGCAGAGACATTTTCCGTAAGTATGAACACAAATAATGCTTCTGTCTAAAGTCCATTACATTAATAAAGATTAAGAGAACAAAAATTAAAGGAAATGCAAAAAATGAATGGTCTGAAAGAGGAACTAATTGGTGAGAAATAGCAGTCATTTGTAAAGACTAGTGTGTGATACTGAAGCTTGTTTAGTTTACAGAAACCACTTCGGTATTTCTGTGGCGTGTCAGCAAGGGGAAGATGTTCAGTGTAGCCTTGTATCTAGCTGCTGGTGTTATTTTCCAATTGATTTGCCACAAAGGATGCAATTTTTTCTCTTTTTATACCAGTGCAATCCCAGTAATTTTAGTAGTCCTACCA